AGTTTAATCCCTGCACGTGTTACAAAGTCTAGGTAAACCCAGAGCAAAGTGGCTCAAAAGTTTGACACGGGCCAAAGTTGTCAAAATTAAATTAAAAAAAAATATTAGTTTTTATTTCTGTATGTCCTTGTGTTTTCTGTTTTAATCTAAGCTTTATTCAGTCAACCCAAACACGTGTTGATAGACCTTTCAGGGGCCGTCTCGTACAGTTCACTTCTGACGATCCTGAAAAAGATGGAGAATAAAAACAGATAAACGATTACTGTTTCAACACATCAAACACCTTGTCATAATTCAAATCTTATTAAGCATATTAATAAAGTAACACGAAAGTTCTTGTGACAAAAATAAAATTAAACATTTAATAATTGCTTTATACACATTTTGACAAATTTTGTTTTTAATTAAWTGTATTATCCAGCTGAGTGAAAATGAAAATAGGCAACTTTACCTGATCGATTCTGGATCGACTTTGTATTGAAACAGGYTCATAACTCTGTTAAAAACAAAAACACAAATAATATAAGTAAATGCACACAAAATGGTTCCAACATACTGCTCCACTATTTCAACATATTACTTCAAAATTTAAAGAGCAATGGAAAATAAAAATCTGCTCTCAAATAAGGGAAAACAAACATGAATCATCATGAATGTTAGACCCCCCCCCACAAAAAAAGAGAAAAGAAAAAAAAAAGAAGTAACTGATGATGAAGAAACTATTTAGTTCTGTTTTCTACTGAAGTGGCAAAAAAAAAAAGATTTTTCTCATAGAACACCAAAAAAGATCTGAGTTCATGGTCCTCAGGAGGAAAACAATGGATTGGTTTTTCTGGGTTGGGGGTGAGGTTCTGCCTCAGGTGGAGGAGTTCAAATATCTTGTAGTTTTGTTCACAAGTGAGAGAAGAATGGAGCATTTGATTGACAGATTTGTGCAGCTTCGACAGTTTTGCAGCCTCTGCACTGGTCTGTTGTGGTGAAGAGAGAGCTGAGCTGTAAGGCAAAGCTCTCTGTTTACCGATCAGKCTACGTTCCTACCCTCAACTATGGTCAGGAGCTTACCCAGGAGACTCAGGGTAGAGCCACTGCTCCTCCACATCAAGAGGAGCAAGCTAAGGCTGGTTCAGGCATCTRGTAAAGATGTCTCTTGCTGAGTAACCGTGCTGAGCCAAGCCAAACCATGCTGAGGAAACACTAATGGAAAAGGCCATACGCCTTCCTAGGGACGTGCTTCAGGCATGTCCAGCACCGGGGAGAACCAGAGGAAGACCCAGGACACGGTGGAGACTATTATGTCTCGTGACTGGCCTGGGAACACCTAGAAATTCTTCCAGAAGAGCTGGCAGAGGTGGCTGAGGAAAGAGAAGCCTCTGCTCCCCTGCAGCTGCTGCCCCTGCGACCCGACTTTGGATAAAGAGGAAAATAATGGATGGATGAAAACCAAGGTTTTTTTTTTTTTACATTTGTCAAAATTACTAATCATATCACATAAATACAACTTAACACAGACTTAAGAAACACTAATTCCGTTTTTATGCTTAATGGTTTTCTACTGAAAGGCAAGAGGTAGGCAATAATCAACATTTACAACTGATTAGCCACCAGAGCTCACTGACCTGAGAAAACACACACACAAACACACACACACACACACACACACACAAAAATGAACTCAGTCAGATTTACAGACTGAGCTTTAATTTGATGATATATGGAGAATATGGTTTATTTACAACACAAACTTTATTGTGTTACAGTAAAAAAACGAACTATTCAAATAACTCCGTCATTTCTCAACATAAGATCTAATTTTGGAGACAGCAGATGGAAATGAACTAGTGGATAAATCTGGTGCAAAGATGTTTTGTCTTGTCTGATCAACATAACATATAGTTTATTTGTGAAATGAGCACAGTTAAAAAAACGGTTTCATTTTGAAAGACACATGGAGGGTATTTAATGAATATCTATGTTTTAAGGTACATTTTATTCTAGCCTTACTTTGATGAAGGTAATTTAGTTTTTTTTATTATTC